ACGAAACAATCTGTATACACCAATCGTGCTACGTTTTCGGATTCGAACGTACTGCGCAGATGCCGAAGACCAGGGGATTTTCACAATGAAGCTTGGGGAGAAAGTTATAGTCAATATTATTGAAATTCCCCAGGAAAATAGTTTTGTTTGAAAAGTAGTTTTGACGATCAACTTAGTTGAAGAAAGTTTTATCAGAGGATTCCGCGAAAATTGTAGGGGTTCAATGGTTTTGAAGATACGCTAGAAGTTTTAAGGGTTCGACGTACAGAACTTCTAAATGAAGGTTCTAAAAAGATTATCAAGAGGACACTAGGAAAATTTCAACATTTTAATGCGATCCTTTCATCGTAAGTCTGAGTAGTTTCTAGGGAAATTCCAAGAGAATTTTATGCTTCATTTATTTATTTATTTATTGTGCCCTACAGGCTTATCGCCCAATTACGGGACAAAGTCAATTTGAATTAAGAACAGTGCAGTAAACATTTCAGCAATTTACATTACATTACATTTTCATTTCATCTCGTCTTTCTAATATCTTCTTCATCCACTACTCCCCTCCCCCCCTTCCTCCCGCATCTAATATTTCTCCCCTATTTTTCTCTGTCCTTTCTACTTCTCTGCGTTCTACTATCAGGTGTTCACTATCTTCCTTTTTCCACACCTGAACCTTGCACTTAATTTAATTTTTTTCTCTCCGTTAAATACTTCGGCACCCCCTCCGTTATCAGCTCCATGTACCTTTCGATTTCTCTCCAATTTCTGATCCTCGCCCTCCGGAACGGAACTTTTGCTTTTTATTTCCTTTTTGCAAGTCGCCATTATCGTGGTTTCCCTATAATTTTCCACACAGTCCTTTTTACTTGTTTTGTAAATCGGCACTGTCACCCCTTCCTTCCATTCTTCCACTAGGCCTCCTTTCTATATCCTGCTTACTAGTTTCCTCCGCTGCTCCTTAATACTACCGAAAAATCCATCCATGTCTTGTTTCTTCAAATCTTCTCTTGATATATCGTATCCTTCCAACTCCTCTCTGCCTCTGTCGCACGCCCTTTCTCCTGCTTTCCTTCATCAGGTGCTGCTAACAGTCATCTATTTGTATTTCTCATTTACCTCTGCTTATTATCTTCCAAAAAACTTTCTCTATTTTTATTTCTCTGGTTTATTCTTCATATTCTTTCGTTTCTTCATCTTTTTAGCGCATTTTTGGTAGCTTACAATCCCACTTTGTCCGGCTGGTACGTATACCTACCGGAGCCGTGTAACAACTTTAGGGACGGGGCTGCAACATCTGCACCCCATCTCCTAGTGATTTTTCAGTTATTTCCTGTCTTCCTCTACAATCTTGACCCGACTGTTTTCAAATTGGTGCCGTCAGAAAGATTTTGTAAACGCGCACAACTCCTACCTGACGAAATTTTGCTTTTTTTCCCTACGGGCGAATTTAACCATATTTTGCAAGGCGCTCATCTCCAAGGGGTAGTCAACTTGGGGCGATCAAAAGTTTCTTTAAGGCTCGGATCTCGATCTCTCCTTCTCATGTCGCTAGTAGAAGTTCGAGTCATGAGAAGTGCCCCAAATATTGAGTATTACTTGGCGGAGGGTTTTTAGCAAAATCCAGCAAAATGCGAATTGCTGATGAACGGAAAGGAAGGGTGCTGGCAAAGGGAAGGCGGTAGCCCTTGACAAGATCTTATTGCCGATCGTCAAAACGGGCCAATATAATACTGATCTGCTATCCCAAATTGCTATGAAGTCCCTTCGATCTCACACGAGGACGTTTCTTCTTACATATGCTTTTGTACTATTTTTCTCCTCTCTTTCCCTCTCCATCATTGTTCTGCATGTGTTTCTGCCCCATCATTCATTTCATTTATCTCCCTTTCAATGTTATTGCCTCTTTAATACTTTCCTTCATCTTTTTCCATTCCTGCTCTGTGCTCTCTCCTAGTTAATGTTCTGGCTCCTCTAGCCTCTTTCTTAAATCCCCCACCGTGTCTCTTGTTCATAACTATATCTCTCTTCGTCTTTCAATCTTTCAACATCTTGCTCTTTTCATCTTGGTGGCCCCATTCTGTCCCTGTCCCTACCAAAAAAATCTTTCAAAACTTTTCCGTTTACTAGTATGTAACCAATTACCGACATTCCTTTCTCTCCCATGTAAGTATCTTGCCGAATCCTCTCTCTCCCTCCCTTTAAATATTCTCCAACCTCTTCTTTCTGTGAATTCCAGTAAAAACTCCTCCTCTTTAATGCACTTCCTATATCTTGACTTTACATCTTGTGTTCCTCTTTCCACCATATTTCCTAATTTATTTTTTAGCTCTTGTTATCCTCTTCCCCTCCGCTTCTACTCGTCTTTCCTGTATCTCCTCTTTGTCTCTCGTTTCATTCCCTTATTCCCATATATTTTTTCTTACCCCTGTTAAATGCGTTTGCTCTTCCCTTCACAGTATCCTTTTCTTCAAACTCCCAGAATTATATCTCTTTACTTGCTATCTCCGTTACATTCCAGAACAACACCTTCATGTTACCCATTTCCCTTTTCATTCTGTTTTGTTCCTTTCTTATGCGGTTCGAGTGTTCGTATCCTTCTTCTTCTCTTCCTTCCCTCTCCTTTTCGCCGTCTTCTTTTTCTCAAACCCTGCATTTTCCTCGTTCGTTCGCTTTCGTTACTCCAACTGTATTCTACACCTTCCACCACCACCTCCATCTTACTTTCTTACCCTTACCCATGTCTCCCTCCGCCCCTCCGCTATCTGTCTAATTCCTTCTGTACCCTTCTTTCTCGATCAGTCGGTTCGTCATCTAGGTAGGTATATTCTGCTTCTCTTTAACTTCCCTCTTCTGTTCTCATGTTCTCTGCGACTATTACTTTATTTCACTCTACTTGTAGTATTTCTTCCAGCTATTCCTTAGTGTTTTCTTTCTATTTTCCCTTTTACAACATTACTCCTCTTATAGTTATGTTGTTCCTAATCTTATCTCTTATCTCTTTCGTTCATTATCTTCTTCTAGTTTAGTTATCCTTCTCATCAATTCTGCTTCCTCTTTCTCTCTTTGTTCTTCTCTTATATTCACCTCCTTCCTTAATCCTCTCATTTTCTCCGTTATAATCTCTTTCATTTTTAGCGCATTTTTAAGAATTAAAAAAAATGTGCTATTATTTGTGTTTTGTCCCTCCGTCTGTCCGTCCGTCCGGACGCACTTCTGCCGTTTTGAACTACTTCTAGGGTCCTAGAGTCCTGGAATACCTTGAAGGTGTGCCAGACGGCCATCAAATTTCGCTGTCTAAAAGGGGGCCCTCCCCACGAATTATTTCTTGAGATGGTGTTTTTGAAAGTAAAACGTGCATAACTTTTACATACAACCAGTTGGTCTTAGATTTTGCATACGCATGCCTTCAGTGGTGCCAAGTTAAACTTTAGAAAATGAGGAGGGGCGGGGGGGTAAACACATGTTCTACCCTTCATGGTATTCTAATGAAACGTCTCATCGAAATAAATTGGTTTGTACAAACTATAACTTTCCCGTGCGGCTCTTTTTCGAGATCAGTGAGCGACAAAGCCTGAGGGGGGGGTGGGTTAAAAATTTATGTTATCTCTCATTGTATTCTGATTAAAGGTCTCAACGAAAGGAACCGTTTTCTACCAACTACGGCCCTTCTTTCTGTCCTCTTATCAAAGTACGGGGTGGAGGGGGAGGGGGGGGAGTGAAACTAGTTTCATGGTACTCTAATGAAAGGTCTCAACGAAAGGAATTAATTTCTACCAACCATAGCCCTCTTTGAACTATGAAGAACAATGGTAATGCCAAAGTCAATATCGCCCTATCCCCCAACAGAATGCCGAGAACCTTGTTTAGGGGAAGGATTACCCCCCCCCCCCCCCCCCCCCAATTTTTATATGATCAAGACAAATTTGTTTCGCCAAATAATTTTACCGCTTGATTAAATTGATTACTCGCGGACCAGATTGACGGAACGAACCTTTGGAGTTTATTAATTTTTCCGTTTCCTCTGGGGAAATTCTGATTTGGGGAAATCCATTAACTGTATTTTGTTTGTCTTTGTGGTGGTGGCTGTATTCTGTATACGGATTTGCAATATTTCTTGTAATTCTTGCTTTGATCTTGCGTATATTTGAAAAGGGGACCATTTTCACCCTCCTTATCCAAGTAGCGACGCGTTAGTCCCTATTGGAATCTAGTTGGTTGCTCACTTACCCCCGTGCGTAAGATATGAAGTAAGGATACTGAAATTTGATGAAAAGCTAAACGTTATACAGTTACCTCAGACATATAAAGATTTGCACTTAAGATAGCGGTGATGGATATTTGTATTCGGGACGAACTCTAATAAATAATTGTATAGAAAGTTTCGAGATTAAACGCGGACGGGGAAGAATGATGGAAAATCATTATACAATGTTGTAATAATGTTTTCAGCGGAAGGTGGCGATTTACGCTGGCGGATTTCGAATTTTGGAGGAATAATATGAAGCGTTATTCTGTAATGGGTGTCGGGATGGGAATATGAATGAAGAGAAATGTGCATATCGACAAGCAATGTTTGATAGACGGATTGCTTCAGTGGCGTAGGTTTTTTGTCCCAAGGGATGCGAATTCAATTCCGTACATTATTTTATTTACTCCGTGCCCCTACAAAAACAACGTACTTCAATTCGGCATGGAAAGCAATATATTTCGGAACAGCAGACAAATCCTGCGAAATCTTGTTACCAGTTCGACTGATTTGAATATAAACGTATAATAGATATCCGAATTTGATAAGAAATTTAGGTAATGTTTAGTTTGGACTTCGATTGAGAAATTTAGTATATCACGCTGCCACTGTTTGGGGTGAATATGAAAACAAAGTTTCAAGTGTTTGAATTGTTGAACAGTTATGCACTCATGTAAAAATGGTATGCGCTAAATACCAATTCAATAATCTCGGAACATGCAAATGTTTGAATACGTAAACATAAAAATGGAAAACTAACCTGTGACTTTGAGGAACAGTCTCTTTACTTTTGGGGGATGCGTTGCGACTTGACATTCGTATAGCCCTTCATCCCTGCGTGTGACGTACACAATTTCTAGTCTAAAGTTGTTAGGGTAGCGAAAACTAAGTGTTATACGTTCGTCGCTGCTATACGCGCTCCGTCCTACCGTTAACAAGTGAATGGAGTCTTCTTTGTGATGCAACCATGTCACCTGTAAAGAAAATAAAGCCATAAATTTGCAATTTGTACAAAAGCGATTCATTTGCACGTTTGGTTCTGTATAGGAAAAGAAAGTAGATGACTACATCCTTTATATCATATATTAGCACGTAGATACCTATTATTTCTCAATCAAAAGTTTTCCTAGACAGGATCACACGTTGCAAATTAAATTCGCCACTAAAGTGATGCAATTTTTTGCGTTTAGACAGTTGTATAGACGTCAACTGTTACGTCCGTGCAGAGGTAAATGCTGGAGTGTTAAAATTACTTAGCGACATTCATCTCGAAATACAACTTCAGTATAAGGTTACCGTATCCAGAACCTTCAGATACCGTCTGGACTGCAGAGTGCAGAAGGTCCCGCTAATTAACAAAGTATTCCATGCACTTTATGTAAGAGACTTAGGAATGTTATTTTTCACCAATGCGAAATGGGGTGAGTTGCTTTTTAATAATCTATTTGAAATGGCTACTTTTGAGCATATCAAATTTTGTATTAAATTAAAGTCAGACTTAAATTATTAAAATTCAAGTTACTTCCTCGGATTGTTAATTTTTGTATATTGTGGATATTGCTCCAGATTTTTTACCCCCTGTGATGAATGATTCGAAATTTTCTTCAACTCGGTTCTTTTGTCCGACGAGTTCTAAGGGAACATGGATTTAAATCCATTCTGCCTAAATTTGTAGGAACTCTTTCGGCCTTTTTGATTCATTTTACACTTTTTATCAATTATTCATAAACTTTCTTTTGTTTTTCCAATTCACTGTGTTATTTGCGTTCCGATAGTAAGCTTGGGTACGAGTGAGCGCGACCTACATAATTAATAAAAGCATAACATTGAAGAACAAGGAGATTTTTCTCTAAATGAATTAAATTTTTGCCGGGCCCCTTTTAAGTCGGGGCCCGTCTTCATTGCGTACATTTGAGACCTTGTAGTTACGCCACTGGCTGACCATAGGTTCATAGAGGCACAAGGATAGTTCCAGAAACAAAGCTAACACTAAGAACTGTCGCTGTTAAAGACTCTCAATGAAAGCAAGGTTTTGCGAGATGTAGTTGTAAAAACAATTGCGCAAACAGAAGATGCAATTGTTTTATTTAAGAAAGAAGTGAGATGCAACTGAAAATGCCACTCATCACCAAATTGCAGAAATAAATAATTAATTAACAATACAACTATTCGTTTTCTTTAGTTCTATATATTCATTATATGTTTTGACATAAAAGTTTATGCTGTTTTGTTTGTTACTTATTTCATTTATTGTTATTTTAAGTAGCCATGCTATGTATCATGTTTATACATACGGAAAAATTAATTGTCCGTTGCACGGTGACCTCTCCATACAAATTATTTATTGCCAAATTGATGCCAAACAATTTTTCCGGAACTATACTTTTTAATTATTTTTTTCAATGAAATAAAAAAAAATTGTGCACTACTTTTTGCTCATAAAAAGGAGGGTTGGTTTTTAAAGTCTTAATGCAATTTTAGGAGGGGATTGGCAAAAGTGTTACATAGAAGGGAAGGGGGATCAAAATTTCGAAATAATTGCATTACGTCATTTATGGGTTGCCCCTCCACAGATTTTAAATTTCTATTGAGTTACTAAAAATGTATGGCAAGTTTTGGTTATTTCCTAATTACTCAATTTTAGGTTTGGTTGCTTCGGGGCGGCCAAAGCCCGAAATTGAAATAGAATTCGAGCTTTGGTCATTCTAAATAGCCCAATCCTAAGAAGAGGAAAAGAGCTCTAAAAACTGGAGATAAACGGCGTGAAATATGAATGGTATGAAGAGCATGGCAAAACTAACGAGAAGTAGACCAAGCGGATATTCGATGACGAAAACGGAAACGAAAACGGGAATGAAGATAGAAAACAATATTTTTCTGGCATCCTGGAACGTAAGAGGCACTTTTCAGGAAGGGTTAATTAACGAGCTAATAAACCAGCTAAAAAGGTACAAAATAGGTATATTAGCGTTGCAAGAAACTAAGCAGGAAGGTAACGAGGTTTATGATATTAATGATTATACTTTCTTCCAGAGTGTTGGGAAAAAGAGAAAATTAGGGACGGGTTTCATGGTCACCAATAAACTAACGACAACCTCATCAATATCCATGCACCGACAGAAGAGTAAGAAATAGACGACAATAAAGCTGAAGCAAATAATACCAACTAATACATCAATAAATAATGCAAGGCAAATAAAATTTGAAAAAGCAATGGAAGAAATGTTAAAAAAGAAGAACACTAGAGTACCTATATATGAAAGGATGAAATGGATAGAAGACAATATAAAGCCTACAGCACAAAAACTGCTTTACAAAGCCACACAGCTCAAATAAATAATGGTACCACAGTAAATGCGAACAAGAGGTACAGCAAAAAGAAAAAACCAGAATGAAGATGTCGCAAGCAAATACAGAAGAAAGCAAACGTACCGGAAAAAGCGTAAAGCAATATGCAGAGCGAAGAAAAGAAAACACCAAGCTAAAATATTAAAAGATATAGAAGAAGAATATAAAAAAAAAGAAGATTAGAAACTTTTACCGGGGCACAAAAAAAGGTCCAAAATGGGGTTCCAGCCGACAACAAAAATGTGTAAGGAAATTTAATAGGAGATCAAAAACATATTCTAGAAAGCTGGGCTGAATATTTCGAGGATCTACAAAACAAACGCCGAGAAATGGACGAAATAATAAACATAATACACAAGTTAAAGAACAATGGAAGCCCAGGAGCGATCGGAATACAAACATAAAAAAGGAAGAAAGCTACATGTACGAATATTTCAACTGATAGAGGAAATATGGAAAAATGAAGAGATGCCAAAGTCTTGGAGAGAAGCATTAATCTGTCCACCACAAAAAAGGTGGCAAACAAAGCTTTGAGAACGATAGAAGCTTTGCGGTTTGCATGCGGTTTTTGACGAGGAAGATCAGTGGTAGACCAAACTAAAGGAAATGCAGGCGAAAAGTTACCAGTACCAACTCCAAACGCACTAAGAGTGCTTTCGCGTTAAAATCAATAATAACGAGAAACGTGTTTTCTAGAGCAGTGAAACTCCGACTTACGCATCTGAGGTGTGGACAATAAGGAAACAGGGCCAGTTTTTCATGGGACAGGAAAATTCTGAGAAAAATTTATGGGGATAAAAGACACAGGGGAACGGAGGACAAAAAAAATAAAAGACCTGTATTACGTTGCGGGTCATAGGTGCAGTAAAGGTACAATGAATAAGATGGATGGGGCATTTCATAAGGAAGGACCAAGAAAGAGTTCCCATCAGTAAAATTTGGAGGTAGAAGACGAGTGGGAAGACTCAGAACGCAGTTGAAAAAGGAGGTCGAAGATTATCTATCGCGACTACAGGTTCGGGAATGGAGGACAGCTGCTGAAAATAAGACAAAATGGGCATCAATTGTCCACCAAGCTAAGGGCCTACAAGGCCTATAGTGACCATATGCATACGTCGGGCGAGCATGTCGCGAACTTCCGAAATCAAGTATGCGGGAGTACAGCCCGTTGAAGAATATCTTGCCGCATTAATAATGGGGGCAGCTAATCCCTCCACCCGGTATGGTCATCAGATTAGAATTGGCAACACTACATTTAGCCGTTGTATCCATGGATAATTATAGGCAGGGAAAGCAGCGAGTCTAGGGGCGAGGAACTTGTTCGTTGTCATTGAAAGCATTAAACGTAAACGCAGTATTAACATTACCCTTTTCAGGATTACATTTGGGGCAATTGTTATTAATATAACCGGGAGTACCACAACTATAACCGTTAAAGTAATAGACAATGACGTATCCTCAGTAGGTTTCCTTTTGGAAGTCTTTTCCGAATAAGAAGTTGTTGGTGCCTTATCCAAGCTTTTAGTCTTAACAATTTTGCGACATTATTCAATAACATGACTTGTATATTTACAGTACCAACAGCGCGATTTCTTAACTGTATTAGATTTCTCATTATAGTAATTGTAGTTTCGACTGAAACCTCAAGTTTCCTCAACTAATTGAGTTCCCTAAAAGTCGTAACTTTATCTCGCGGTACTTTCTACAATTAAGGAGACCGTATACCATGTCCAGATGAGTAGCTTCAGTTAGAGTACCCGGTAGCAACTGGCATAAAATAGAACGAGCTTTACACATAAAAATGCCTGTTTTGGTTTTAGAGTCGATAATGCGGCTTAATTGGACCGAATGTTGATTTTAAGAGATCGATCTCTTCTTTCCAAGTTGATAAAGTAGACACCTTGGTACCCAGTCAAAACGAACCCATCGAGTAATCCTTTAAAAACCTCGATAGCATCTACGAACGTATTCACATCAGAGATCTACAACGGCAATTCGCAAAATTTCCAGAGTGAACATTTGTAGGTGGAAAGAAATCACACGTAAAACACGTACGAGTATACTATTCCATTTTTTGTGAGTATTCACACATAAAGCTCAATAGTCAATGCAAAAACACATTTTTGAATGGGTGGCGATCACGTCAAATCCCAAAAACCGCACAAAAGGAACCACAGTTTGCAACGCGACTACACAAAATCAAGAGACCTTTTCGGGGCCCCACGTTGGGCGCCAGTTATAAGGTATACTAGGGGTACGGACACGAACTTAATAACAACGCGAATAACTAATTAATATTAATATTGGCACCAGCGCGGATTAATTGATAATGCTTGAATGGAATTTTCCTTTAGGTAGTAGTGCGTTAGAAAAATATGTTTAATGCACTTTTCCTGTGACAATTTCGCATCTAAGAAACGACAAAAAGCGGCACCTAAAATGTTGCATTTTATCACTAATTGAAAGCTGCAGCGTAAGTGGTTTCCATTAACTATTTTGCGATCTTTCTGGTTATTTCACAACCGTTGTGTCTTTCGGGGAGAAAATGTGATTACAATTTCGTTGTGATATTTCTAATAACACGTGTCAAGATGATTTAATTTTTTACGTAAAAACACCTACAATA